TTTATTAATAAGCAGTGATTTTTGATCATGTGGTCGATGGATTTTTGAATGGATATCGGTGAAGTAGGTGTATTAAACAGCTTACCGTGCTTTAACCCTTTGGAGTCTGATTTATTTTTCGTGAATTTGCGTTATATCTGAAGTCAAGTTTCACGTACATGTAGATGCTCTAGTATAACAAGAAATATTGATTTTATTGGTGTAGGTTATTCCTTTTAGACGCTGAGGATTGGAATATAATGTGTCCCATTGGTTACACGTAAACAAATATGTGCGTGGTATGTATTCTAAGATTGTTCGTATATTGTGGAAAAAACGGGATTCATTTCTCCAAGTAGGTGAACGAAATACATAGGTTTAATACATGTGTCCCCCTATAGACTCCAAAGGGTTAACGTGTCTAACCCTTAGTGGAGATTGTAAGAGCTCGTAATGTATGAATTTGTTAACTATGCATGTTATTCCATTCTTTTGAGTTGGAATTAAATTCTGTTCTTTTCTCCACAATATTTAAGCATTCAAAGAAACGTAGGTCCACAGTACAAACCTTAGCAATAATAAACAAATATATGCGTGGTATGTATTCTAAGATTGGTATGTTCGTGTGTCGTGGAAAAGACGGGATTCATTTCTCCCGATAGGTGAACGAAATATGTAGGTTTAATACATGTGTCCCTATAGACTCCAAAGGGTTAACGTGTCTAACTCTTAGTGGAGATTGTAAGAGCTCGTAATGTAAGAATCTGTTAACTATGAATGTTATTTATGAATTATGATTGTTATTTAAGAAATTAAATTCTGTTCTTTTCTCCACAATATTTAAGTATTCAAAGAAACGTAGGTCCACAGTACAAATCCTGGCAATAAGTTTCCGATCAGACGCGTCAGTACGAAATTTACTAAAACCATTGGTTGTTTTGAAGTGGAAAATGATATATATATTCTTTGTAATTAAAAGTAGTAGGGAATTAAGAGGAGTTTTGTTCAAAGTTATCAACGACGCACAAGTGAAAAATGAAATGTTGCGTGGGAAAAGGTTTCCGATCGGTAGAAATATTGGCAAAACATTTAAATATTAATTATTAATATTTTGTTATTTTCCTACGTTTACGTATTACAGTTGTTATACGTTCTGGCATGGGATTAATATTTTGGGTAAAATTTTTACCATGGGTAAAATTTCTTTCTATGATATTCGGATAACCAGTCAAAGTTTTTCTTTGTTTCCTGGTTATTTGGCTCGGTGATGAGCTTTTTAAGTTTTCCCCACGTGTTTTTATTAGAATTGAGATCAAGACTGTTCGCTGGCCATTTCACTGTTCTAACGTTTTCATGTTCTAAGTTGTCTTTTATCACTTTACTGCGATGACAGCTGGCATTATTATCTTGACAAATAAGATTTAACGAATCCTCGAACCTGTGTTCGATGCTAGAAATTAAAAAATGACATAAAATATGAATGTATGATTCCGAATTCACATTTTGAAAGAGAAAATGCACGATTTGCTGATTCCATTGTCGATCAAACGATCCCAGATCACGAAAGATCGCGGATATTTCTGTTTAAAATTTAAGCAATTCGAATGGTAGAGAATCGTTAGAAGATGACAAACATACGCGAAAACCTGAAACAAATCGAAAGAATACGTAACTTCATTGCAAATGACCGCGATGCTTCGCTGAAAATGATGGAAGCGGCTACGAACATCAACCGAGAGACGATTCGGGCCATTCTTCGCGTCGTATCCGTTCCGATTATCAAGATCCAGACAGTTCAACACGATAACGCGCCATCTCGCAAGTCACTTTTTTGTTCGTCAATTTTTGGCCAGAAATCAAGTCTGGGTGCTCGATCATTCGCCGTATCCGATCCATGATTTTGTGTGCCTTGTGCGACCTTTTCTTTATCTCCAAAATTGAGATTGAAGCGAAACGGATGCTTTTTCGAAGACATTCTGACCATCCAAACATTCGAAACGAACTGATTCATGCATTTGAATCCCGTTTGTATCGCCGTAAGAAGTGTATTGAAGCAACAGGAGATTATTTTGAATAAAACAACGTAAGATTTTTGTGTTTCATTGGACTAATCTTAAAAATTAATTGTCACACCGTGTACAACAACATTCTAAAATTCTCTCGAACTTTCTACGATTTCAAAATAGCCCCGAGACGTTGTCATAAGTGCAGGAAACCCGTCCTGTAATCATCACTCTCAGCTTCCAGCGTCTGCTGGATCACACATTCAATCATTTTCGGGCGTCTCGGAAGTTCTAAAAGTTTGGGAAGGTTTCGGAAGGTATTGTCAGAAGCGTCAAGAGGCGCCTTTGCTGTTGCAACGTACGATGCGTGACGCAGCTGTTACAGTATACTACTTGATAACCCGCAAAATCCTAACCTTGTTAAATCAATGATTACCAAAACCATTTTTAAATTGAGTCGTATAAAAAATGCGTAAAGAATCTGTAACTCTTACGCGTTTCATACTATTGAAGAAGCATCCGATGTGATTATAGAAACAAATAGTATAATTATATTGGATCTAAATTTATTGATTTGATTTTGATATTGGCACTAAAGATGCCTGGCAACTGTTGCCTCATAAAAATTGCAACGCTGAATTTATTCCGACATTTTGCTATCTTTTTTTATATACTTGGATCAAGAAATTTATTCAATCATTCCCTACGAAAGACTGTTTACAGTTTCAACACTTGCAAACGCTTCAACACGTGCAACTGATCGTTTAAAACAATAGACACTAACACTGATATACAATAAACAATAGATTCGTCGTTTAACTTACCCGGGCACCGAATCTATTTTATCTTCAAATTTATCATTTTCCACTCCAGTTATTTAGAAATAATACATAGCAATGCTGGAATAAAAACAATGACTCAACTTTCTATTTCTAATTTTTTGCCACAATTCGAAGGCAATTCGGAGGCCACGTGCCACTATTCGACGGAGATTGGTCACGTATTTCGTAGATCCGCGGTTTTTCTGACTCACGCCCAAACGTCGATCCATAGCATCGACGTAGCAATAAATTACATAGACGTAGGACTAGCACAGGGAAATTCACAGTAACCCGAAATTTGGCATTTCCGGGAGAAATTACTGTATTGCGCGTGGGATAGAAATCCAGCACGCGAAAGTACTTGACGGTGAACAATATTAACCGCTCGCATTTACCAAGAATTTCTGTTTCCGTTGTAGAAACGATACGATTCTATTCCAAAGTGAATAAGAATCTCGAGAGCCGGTGTCAAGAGTAATCTTCCATAGTTATTTCTGGTTCGCGGTAACTTAACAACTTATTATAATCAGCTTTCAACGTTACTTTAACGTAGACGCGTGGTGGAAGTTCGATTTTACGAAGAAGCAGCAGACCGCGGCACCACGAGAGAAAACCGTAAAATTTCAAAGTTATAAATCCTTTACCGCTTATCCGACCATGCATACAAAACGAAATTTTCATTTAATTTGTTCCCGATGTTTCCCATCGGTTGTTTCCTACGGCTCGTTAATCACCGATGCAAAAAATGCTATCGGAGTCCCGGAGAGTTCAAGTTTCCCTGGGCCGAACTCATTTTTATTCCGGCCGAACTTCGGGTATTCCTTACGCATTAACGAATGGAAATTGCTCGGTGCATAGAAAAGTTTAATCCTACTTATGGAATACCTTGCGGACGGCCATTTCGCCGTGTTTAACCGGTTGTAAAGAGCCCCGAGTCATTGAACGCACCGGTGCGGTGGAAACAAATCAGTTTTGTTCCCAGGAATATAAGCATGGTCGCCTTACATTCCAGTTGGCACGTCGGGCGAGCCGCGAGCAATCTCGCCGCAGCGG